AGGGGGAGCGGAACAGAAAGCGGGATGGGACCTTCTCGATGGCGTTCGCAAACTTTGGACTCGATTCCCTCCCGCGCCCGTTTGCTTCGACCTCGCCTCCCCGGGGCGATCGGGTTACGTCAGGCAAGCTCTCATCGTCTTCCTCAAGGCTCCCCATGTACATTAACTTGGGCCCCAGGTTTTGCGCTGCCGGGGCAGAGGTGGCATCAGATGGTCAAAATAGAGAGCATCATTGCACCGCTTTTCTCATGATCGGTTTCGCGCTTCGTAGCTTCCTGGAAGACGATGACGATAGTCTTGACGTAACCCCAGCCCTCCTGTACATAGCGGTGCTGGCTTTGTGGTGTTGCCCCCTCCTCCTTGTCTAGAGTCTGTCTTGCGAGTCTGCTTTTCCTCCTTTTTGTTTTGTCGCCTCACACTTCACCATCTCCCCGGGCTCACGAGACTAATCTTGGTTCTACGTAGACGACGAGGACTTCTCCATGGACGATGTCAGGTCGAACATCGAGGCTCTCGTGGCAGACGAGCCCATCGACACGAGTATCCGCCAGCCTCCTGGCGCGTTTGAGCCCGTCGGCCGATCCATCACCCCAGCAGTCCCGCCCGGGTTTTTCTTCCCAAGCGCACATCCGTCGCCCGCCGCATCGCATTCCTCGCTTCCAGCAACTAGCGCAGGACGCCAGGCCTCCCCGGTCGTTTTGCCCAAGGTCCCCGCGAAGCCCAGTGGTCCCGCATCCAGCCCGCTGACCAAAAAGGCCGTTACACCTGTTGCGCCCGAGGCCAAGAAGGCCGTGAAAGCCCTTGCTGCAGAGAGTGGCCTGTCGAGGGAGATTGCCAAAGCAAAGTCGCAGAAGCTCTTACAGGATGAGGACTTCCCGGCCCTTGACTCGCCCAAATCCCAGCCAGCGGCGACGCCAGTTGTCCAGCCCAAGGCGACTCCCAGCAAAGCTGCCGGATCTAGCAGCAAAAAGTCGCCCGAAAAGCCGGCTGAAAAGACAAAGGAGAAGACCAAGGACAAAGGAAAAGAAAAGGAGAAAGAGAAGCCCGTTCCGGCACCCGCTCCTGTCTCCGTTCCTGCTCCAGAAAAGACGGTCCCGCCTAAGCCGCAGCCAAAGACTGCCGAATCGGTTCCCGAGAAGGCCCAGGAAAAGCCGGCGGTTGAGAAGAAGGCAGACAAACGGCCAGTCCCCGGCATCCTCAACATCGCGGCAGCAACCAAGGCTGCCCAAATTAAGAACGTCGAAGCCCAGTCGGCCACAGAGAAGGCAGCGGCCGAGAGGGACTCTGCTTTCCCAGCGCTTCCGTCCGCCACGCCCGTCTCGGTTTCGTCTCCGCTCACCCGGGCTGCCCCCAAGACTCTCAAGATAGTGTCTACGCCCAAGACAGAGGCGCCTCCGACGCCGATCCTGGCGGCTCCAGCGGTCCGATCGGTTGCTACCATGGCAATTCGCCCCGAGACACCAGTCAGCGAGCTGATCTCGGACAGCGCGTCCATCGTCTCAGCCTCGATCTCTGCGTCTCGGACCAGTTCGCCTCCACCAGCCAAGGTTGGCTCGGCGCCCGTCCGGTCTACAACCAAGAGCCAACAGCGCAAGCAACGCAAGGAGGCCTTGAAGAAGGAATCGGCGACAATCGCAGCCCAGCCAGTCAAGGTTGAGACGACTACCGAGATCGGCCCAATCCTCGGCCGCAAGAAGAAGCAGAAGAAGGAGAAGGAGAAGGAGAAGGAGAAGGAGAATGTCACCAGCAAGACTGCAACCCCTGCGGCGAGCCGTCCAGAGACCCCGCTCGCACCCCAGCCCGCGCCTCTTCAGGAGGTTAAGGAGGTCGTCGAGGTTAAGGAGGCCAAGGAAGAGTCGTCAGCCTATCGGTCTACGGCCAACGAGACCACCACGTTGCTCGACGAGCCACCTCTGCACAAGGGCAGATATGGGGATGTCAAGGGCAAGGCGGCCGAGAAGCTGGATCGGGGTTCGGATTTGTCCACACCTCGGACCCTGCCAACCCCTGCGTCAGTCCTGCACGACCTTCAGGCCGCCGGGCTGGCCGACAATCTCGAGGGCCTGGCTTTCTTCAAGTCAGTCAGTGTCCAGCTTGACAAGTCCCGGAACGACGTCATCAACAACAATGCCGCGGGCCATCGGGACCAGGCGGCGAAGAACTCCATGACCCCAACCAAGTCGATCGTTACCGAGGACGACCAGGCATCGCTCCTCGCTGGCAAGCCGGTGCGCAAGATCATGGACGGCACCCGCATCCTCCTGACTCCTAACGGCGACTGCATCCGCAACCTCAGCCCTGACGAGGAGGACCGCTTCCTCGACCTCCAGCAGCTTGTAGCCGAGGCGACGGCCAGCCCCGCCGCCTTTGTGTCGTCCCGCCACGAAGCCGGCGGGGGATTCAGCCTCATCAAAGGCCGCGCCGTTCCCAACGGGCCCCCAAGCTACTTCCCTCCCGCGCCTGGCGCCTACCCATCCGACCCGGTCAACAAGATCCAGCGCGAGGAGGCGATCTACTACATCAACCAGTACGTGCTGCCGCGGCTGAACCTCAATGCTAGAGACATGAGTTTGCCCAAGGCCATGTCCACGTGGACCACGGACCCGCGCGGCTCTGCCGCCCAAGCGGCCGCCGCCAACCTCAGCTCGGTCGCGCCCTGGCTGTACGGCGGTATTGGGGGGTCCGGCTCGGTCCCGCACCTGCCCCCCATGACGCACGACGACATGCTCGACGTCGGCGCGGCCCCGCCCGAGCTGAGCTACCCCGGCCCCGTCGGCGCCTTCGCTGACGACCTGCACCACGGCGGATACGTCGACATCAACGCGCAGCTCCCGACCGTCGAGGAAGTCTTTGGCGGCGCCGCCCGCCACCACCACCACTCGCACACCCATCACCACCATCATCACCATCCGCACCACCACCACCACACCACCCCGCCCTCCCCATCCACCTCCTCCTCGGCCGTCGCCGCCGCTCCCCCGGCCACTGCCACAGCCGGCATCAACTTCACCTCCCCCGGCCCCTTTGGCAACGTTCCGCTCATGTCGCTCGAGGACGCCGAGCAGGCGCTGCACGCGGCGCGCAAGGAGACGGAGAAGCTCGAGAAGAGCCTCGGCCAGCTGATGCGCAAGAACCGCCGACTGCTGGCCTCGCCGCACGCGCACATTGCCACGGCCGCCGCCGCCGCCATTGCCGCGGGCGGGGGAGGCGGCGCGGGCGGGGGGCATTGACTAGCCTGGGCGGCGTCTCGCGAGGGCTGCTCCGACTCGGAATGGGACGACGATGAGGAGGAGTTTTTTGGTGAGGCGTCGAGGGCGGCGAACGCCGCTGCTGCGAGACAGCAGCAGGGGAGGTGGCGGAGGCTGGGGGCGAGGCATGACCGCGCGGTGGCCACGGTCGCTGTCGCGGTTGCGCTGGCCAGGGTGCTAAGGGGGTTGAGCAGCATGGGCGAGGCGGCGTTTGCGGCGGTGTGGATGGCTGTGTTGCTGGTGGAGAGCGTGGTGGCGATGGCAGCGAGGGGGGCGGTGATGGCGGTGAGGGTAGTTTGTGCGGTGCTGGATTGGGTGGGGGCTGAGTATTAGGTTGGTGAGGGCGAGACGTGAGAGGGGAGGACAGGGAGGGGAGTTTTGGTGTGGAGGTTGAGGTTGGAGGTGTCGTGCTGGGGGCGGGGAGAGGGAGAGCGGGCAAGCGGTTTTGGTTTGGCCGCGGTGCCTGGCAAGCAGATGTGGATGTTTGGAATGTTGTATGAATATTTTGGTCCCAGACTTTGGCTGTCTCCAAACGGGGAGGACTGGGCCTTGACCCCTGAGAGAGACCAGCGAGTGCTTGCAGTTGGTCACTTTGACAAGCATAGCGATAGTATCATGCTTGGTTTGGTAGAATTGTACGGCAATGTTTGTAGCAGTAGCTGTATGGTTGATGGAACAGAACATGAGATAAACTGTCGCGGTGCCTGCCCCTGAGAGACTGTGACCTGCCCAGTTAACACCAACTCCCCCCCTCCTCCGCACATGGGGCCTCAACCAACCCACCACCACAACCCATCGAGCATTTATTCCCGCCCTCTCTCCCCCTGACCAAAAAGACATGCTCCAACTAACCCAGTAAAAGAAAAAACCAAAAACGAAAGTTTGGAAACAGGGCTCAATCGGGGATCGAACCCGAGACCTCGCACATTCTTCGTCTGTTTACCAGACTGGGCTTTTAAGACCACCCGAAGCGCGAATCATACCACTAGACCATTGAGCCGAATCCAATTGGTGAGCGGCACGAGCGAAAGTGGGAGATGTCAATCAGGCACGCCGACCAGGTTGGTTGTAATGCTTGGTGGGCAAGGCAGACAGGTGGGAGGGGATTAGGAAAGCAATTGGGGAGGATTCTTGTGGTTCTCTGTTGGCATTTTTTCCTCCTACGACGAGAGTTGGGTTTCAGGTCGGTCGATTGGTAAGGGATGGTTTGGTTGGTGGTTGGTTGTTGGTTGTTTGGAGCTGGTTGCCCAGTTCAACCGGGGTGATGTTGCGTATTTATTTGGTGTTTGCTGCCGCTTGCTGCCGTTTACATCTATTTTCGACAGTTGCCCTTCTTGCTTCAAGCTCCTCTGTTTGCCCATTTTAACGCCCTCGACCTCGCCGAGATGCCTCAACCTGAGGCTCAGCTCCTACCCATTTCTCGCCCAAGAAGAATCTGCAAAGCACCAAATTAATAAGCCAGGATGCCCCTCAAAGCTCAACGTCACAACCCGAGGCTCAATTTAGCCCTCCTTTGATGAGGACTTTGATCATCAGGTTCTCCGATACCGGAGGGCATTCCGACCTCTCAGAGCATTTCACAATTGTTACGGCACTCGGCCAATTCCAGAGAGCGATTCTAGCACTGAGAACAACGGCAGCGCGACTGTCTCTGTCAGCCGTTGTGAGCAGGGATGCCTTTGTGGGATCCTTCGACATGCCAGCATGCCCGATTGAGAAAAGATTCAGTTCCAACAATGCCATCCCAGCATCGAAACTTACAGCTGCTCGACATGTTCTCCGGGCTTTACATGCAACCCAAGCAACGTTTGCATTTCAACACTGAGAAACCAAGGTGCCTAATTTTACGGCCAGCTCACCCACCCACTGACTCTGGCACAGGAACAGCAATCGACCCAACCGCAAAATGCCAGGGACAAAACTGCCCGCATATCCAACCCACCTCCCAGACCACCCACCAGCACTTCAACAACCCACTCCGCTCCTCCACATCCAACCAACCACCACGGGAGACCAGAAAAGTAGAAAAAAACGGGCAATCGGCTAACCCAGCCTTTAAGCCTAAATAAAACTCCGATATCGCACACGAAACAGTAATGGGCTGTTGGTCTAGCGGTATGATTCTCGCTTTGGGTGCGAGAGGTCCCGGGTTCAATCCCCGGACAGCCCCGAGGTTTTGTTTTTGTTGCCATTTTCAGTTGCGCGTCGCCTCTGGGGCTCATCGTCGACTTGCCGACGAGGATAATCAAGGATTTGTTCAACATGAGCAGGTGGGTGGTGTATAAATTTTTTTTTTTGGCTGAGTAAGGGGGAATAGTCACCCGTAGGGTTGAGCCATCGAGGCAGAGCGAAGCGTGGATTGTCAAGCCATCCATGAGGGAGCTCCAACTCCCAGGACCAACCAACCATGAACTTTCCGAATGCTTCCTACGCCTCAAAATCGTACACATTCCCACAGTACTCCATACAATACATACCCAGCTTCCTTCTCCTCAAGCAAGCCACCTCTCCCGAACTCCAGGAAACAAACCCTCCTCCCCCCAAAACCAAGTTTCCCCCCTTACTCCGGCCCAACACTAGAATGCGACGTCCCCGGCCGACTCCCCATCCTCTTCAGCTTCCCGCCCTTGGTATTAAACAGGCTCTTGACCCTCCTCAGCCGCGACATCATGTCGACGTCCTTCTTGCGTCTCGCTTCCTCCCCGTCCTCGACCCCTTCCTCCCCATCCCCCTCTTCCTCCCCGCCCAACCCCCTCGCCGGCGCCGGCCCGCTAACTGTCGTCGGCCGCTCCGGTGTCTTGGGCACAGCCCCTGGGCGGCCACCAGTGGTGCTATTCCCCCTCCCCGGGGGCACGCTACTCTTGCTCCGCCCATGCGCCGTGCCTTTCTGCCCCGGCGTGCCCGTGCCTGCCACCTTCTCCCTTATAAACGCCTCGTTCCTCAACCCGACAACCAGCACCTCCCACGCGGCCATCTCCCTCTCCAGCTTCCCCGTCGCCGAGCCCGGGTTGCGCTGCACGGCGGGGTTCTTCCAGGGGCAGAAAAAGCGGTGCTCGCGCAGCGCGTCGAGGTGGTCCATGGGCGGCGGGACGAGGCGGGCGCCGTCGGGCGCCTCGCGCGGGCTGAACATCCACAGGCCGAGGCGGCGCAGGCAGGTGTGGCAGGAGGCGCTGTTGGGGACGGAGTGGCCGAGCAGGGGGTGGGTGAGGGATTGCCAGCCGAGGAGGGAGAGGGCGAGGGCGGGGAGTAGGGTGGTGAGGAGCATGGTGGTTGCTGGAGGGAGGGTTAGGGGGGGATTGTTTTGGGGGGGTTGATGGGGGACGGACTTGATGGTTCAACGCCGTGCTGGTTCGGTGGGTGGTTGAGACTTAAAGTTGGGGGCTGAAGGCTGGGCTAGCGATCGAGGTATCATCTTGGTTCTGACATGGCCGAACGGGGGATATTATCGACAGCTGGTCTTGTCCTTCTGCCCATGCCCATGCACCCGTCATATCGACAAACAGTCCCAACTGCATGCGAGGCGTGCCATCCCGGCTCAGGCAAATAGAGGGACGCGGCCGTCGAGACGCGAAGCCGAGCGGATATAAATTGAGATGGCTATTGAGCCGATCACCGCCCGCGCCTACGGGCCGCCTTATCTGCCCTCCCGCCCAGCCGACAACACCCCGTTGATATCCGGTGCAGGAGTCGTGCGGCGCCGTCCTGGATCGAGGATATCCCAGTGCGCTGTGGGTGGCTGCCGCTACTGCGCCGACGCTGGAACTGTGAACCGAGATGATGTAGATACAAGTCCGGCCCCCTAGCACTACCCTCCCGGACGGCTCCCCCCTCGCCTGCCCCCGTCAAATCTCAAATAAAACCAACCCCGGCGAGACTTTGGACGCGTCAACGCACTGACCGGTCCGGGGGAAGATGGTGTTGAAGCGGTCAAGTTCGACCGTGAACAGCTGTATGTCGATGGTGGTGCACGGCAGGGCCTCCATGGCCTCAAAAGTCTCGGCATCCGTCAGCGTGCTATGCCTGGGAACTCTTTGGCCGAGTCAAGATCGAGGTCATGTCCCGTGCGTGTGTTGCTGTGCTACCTAGGTACTGAGCCGTCTTGCTGGGAGTGGATGTGAAGCATCGCGACGGGGCTGTCGTTGGGCGCTGTGGAGTGTCTGGACAGTGATCCCTCTGGAGCCTCGAAGTGGGGCTCCCCTGCTACGGCTTAGCGTGGATTCTGCCGAGGCTTCCCCCTGTTCCTTGTTCCCCTGAAAATTGTGGGGCAAGAGGCAGCGGCCACTGCTGGGCCAGTCTCGTCTCACGCGACGCCATTCCCGACCCTCCCGCGCCAGCTTTTTTTGTCTTTTTTTTCTTCTTTTTTTTTATTCGAGAGATTCGCGGCCCAAGACAACGGGATAGACGTGGAGCCAGACACAACCGCGGCATCCACTCTTGGGACTCGCTCTCACACGCACTCTGCCCCGTCAAACCGAATTGAAGCCGACAGACGCGCCTTGCCGACGCCCCAACCATCATCATCATCATCGTCATCCCCCCCCTTATCCGACCGCTCCCGCGCCCCGAATCGAGCCATCCCGACACACACTCGATCTCTCTCCCACCACCCCGCCGCCGACCATGGACCTGCACGAGGCCCAGGCGCTCCTCAACGACTGGCTGCAGGAGGCGTCCGTCACCTTTCAAAAGGTGCCCGGCTCCGCCGTCCTCATCCGCTATGTCCGCTCCAGCTACCAGAACGACCCCGTGCGCTCCGCCATCGAGCTGGTGCTCGTCATCTTCTTCATCCGCTACCTGATGGCCCCGAGCTACTCGACTTCGAAGCAGAACTACGTCAAGCTGACCGAGGATGTGAGTCCTGGAGGGACCCAATATGTCGGACGAGGGGGGAGGGATACAGAAGAAGAATAGACGAAGGACGGCCGCTGATCTTGGCTCCCCACAGGAAATCGACGAGCTGGTCGAAGAATGGACCCCCGAGCCGCTGGTCGCTGCCCCGACCGCCCAAGAAGAGGCCGAGCAGGACAGGCTGCCCGTGATTGTTGGGTAAGGGATTCCCCTGGGCTGGCTTCTGCTGCGTGCTGCCTCTCGACGCTGACTACCCACGCCCCCTCCCCAGTCCCACCGGCCCCAAGTCCAAGCTCGCCAACGGCAAGACCGTCACCAACCTCGCCTCGTACAACTTCTACAACTTCAACGCCAACGAGCAGATCAAGGAAAAGGCCATCCAGACCCTGCGCACCTACGGCGTCGGTCCCTGCGGCCCGCCCCAGTTCTACGGCACCCAGGACGTCCACATGAAGACCGAGGCCGACATCGCCTCGTACCTGGGCACGGAGGGCTGCATCGTCTACGCCCACTCCTTCTCCACCATCTCGAGCGTCATTCCCTCCTTCTGCAAGCGCGGCGACATCATCGTCGCCGACCGCGGCGTTAACTACTCTATCCGCCGCGGCCTCGAGATCTCGCGCAGCAGCGTCAAGTGGTACACCCACGGCGACATGGACGAGCTCGAGCAGGTCCTGCGCAAGGTCGTCAAGGAGCAGGCCGGCAAGAAGCTGACCCGCCGCTTCATCGTCACCGAGGCCCTGTTTGAGACGACGGGCGACATGAACAACCTGCCCAAGCTGGTGAGTCCTCCCGCTTCACTTGCCCACCCACGCCCGAGAGGAAACAAATCTCCGTTTTAACACCAGGTACAGATCGAACTCAAGACCAAGTACAAGTTCCGCCTCATCCTCGACGAGACCTGGTCCTTCGGCGTGCTCGGCCGCACCGGCCGCGGCCTGACCGAGGCCCAGAACGTCGACCCCACCCAGGTCGACATGATCATCGGCTCGCTCGCCGGCCCCCTCTGTGCCGGTGGCGGCTTCTGCGCCGGCGCCAAGGACGTTGTCGAGCACCAGCGCGTCTCGTCCACCGCCTACACCTTCTCGGCCGCCCTGCCCGCCATGCTCGCCGTCACCGCCAGCGAGTGCATCAACCTGCTGCAGTCCAACC